GCCTCTGGTACTGGGGATTGAACCCAGGAGCACTTTACACTGAGCTGCATCCCCAGCCCTTTTTAGTTTTTAGTTTGAGACAGGGTGTTGCTAAGTTGCTGAGTCTGGCCTTGAACTTGCAATCCTCCTGCCTCAGCCTCCTGAGCTGCTGGGACTACAGACGTGTGGCCACTGCATCCTGCTCCGTCCTTGCCTTCAGTCCTGTGTGTTGTGACTGTCCTGGATTCCCAAGTGTTCCAAGCTGGTGCTCTCAACACTGACGCCGACTACGTGTGGTGCTGAGCTCTAAGGCAGTGGTGTGTGACAGGGGCCTTCTGTCAACTGCTTATCACCTGCTTGTGACAATATAAATATAGAAGTTGAGAACAAGCATCCAGAAGATTTGCTGGTAAACTGACATTGTCACGTTTTTCGTGTATTTTAGAAGAGTCCCAGTCTTCTCTGGTTTGGAGATGCAAAGTGCTGGTCCTTCACCAGGGGCATTCGGGGAGCCTGGCTCCTCTGTGCAGAGGTGACTCCTGCTCTCCGGATCTCGGTAGGGGTGGAGGATCCAGAGCGCTATGTCTTCTGCTTGGAGTGCAAACATTGACGTGTGGCTGAAAACCCAGGTCCATCCTCCTCCTTTATCCACCAACTATGTACTAAACAGCCACCCTGCCAGCACTGTAGGAAGCAGTAGGGCCGTCGCAGTGGACGAGGTGGAGTAGGACCTGTCCTCTCAGAGCTCCCTACAAAGACAGACCACAAGCGAGTTCCCCAAATGAATAAACACAGTGATTTCAAAGTAGTTAAATGCCCTGAGGGGAATAAAAGACGGTGAGATGGAGGATCTGCAAGGTGAACGCTTTCAGTTTCTGGGTGGTGAGGCGTCTCCAAGAAGTCCCATTCCAACAGAATCCTGAGGATGGGAAAGTGGCAGGCGTGAAGCAAGGAATCAGCCTTCCAGGCCGTCAGAACAGCCCATGCAAAAGGCTCTGGACAAGAACGAGACCAGGGAGACCAGGGAGGCTGCTGGAGACATCCAAGTGAGACACAGAGACCTGAGTAGAGACAGGAGCTTGGCTGGGGGAGGGCGGAGCTGGGTGGAAGGTGAATCAGATGGAGCTGTCCACTGTCTGTCTGGAACAAGGACTGAAGGGATGGACTTTGGGACGCTGTGCAGATTTTGTACCTATGTGCTCCCAAGGGAGTTTTTCATTTGTGAGAGAGAACTTCCCTGAGGATCTGTAGGTGAAGAAGCTTTGCCCAGGAGCTATCACTCAACCAAGTGTTAGCTACTCTTCATTCACAAGCTTCGAAGATTACTGCCATCGCCGCCGCCACCACCACCACCGTTTAAAGTCATCTGAATGCTGGGCCCAGTGGCACATGCCTGTAGTCCCAGTGGCTCAGGAGGCTGAGGCAGGAGGATCACAAGTTCAAAACCAGTAACATCAACTTAGCAAGGCCCTGAGCAACTCATGAGGCCCTGTATCTAAATAAATTATAAAAATTCTCTCTCTCTCTCTCTCTCTCTTTCTCTCCTCTCTCACTCTCTCTTTAAAAAAAAATAAATAAATTATAAAAAAAGGTTGGGGAATTGGCTCAGTGGTAAAACACCGCTGGGTTCAATCCCCAGTACCAAAAAAAAAAAAAAAAAAAAGTTGCGGGCTGGGAATATAGCTCAGTTGGTAGAGTGCTTGCCTTGCATGCACAAGGTTCAATCTCCAGCAACACACACACACACACACACACACACACATACACACAGTCATTTGAGACTATCATTAAAAAAAAAAGTGTTGGTGAGGATGTGGAGAAATGGAAAGCCTCATACATCGTGTAGATTGAAATGTAAAATGGTGCAGACCTCGTGGAAATCCATTTGGTGGGTCCTCAGAAAGCTGGACGAAATAATATGACCCAGAAATTTCACTACTAGGAAAATACTCCAAAGATTTGACAACTGGGTCTCAAATAGATGTTTGTGTGACAATGTTCATCACAGCATTATACACAGTAGCCAAAGGGTGGAACCAACCCAAGTGCCCATTAACAGATGAGTGAATAAGCAAAATGTGGTCTTTACATACAGTGCAGCACCATTCAGCCACAATGAAGTTCTGGTACATGCTAGCACACGGATGAACTTGAAAATATCATGCTTTTGAAGCAAGCCAGACACAAAAGCACAGATACTGTATGATCCCACTTATATGAAATCTAGGATAGGCCAATTCATGGCAAGGAAAGTAGATGGGAGTTTAGCCTGGTCTGCAGGAGAGTGGAGTGAGAGCTATTGCTTAATGGTTACAGAATTTCTGTTTGGGGTGATGAAACAGCTTTGGAAAGCGATTGCACAATATTGTGAGTGTAACTAATGACATCCAATTGTACACTTAAAAATGGGCAAAACTGCAACAAAGAAAAAAATAACAATGGATCCAACTTTTGTGGTCTGTTTCAAGAAGAAAATGTTGATTTGGAAAGGAGGCTAGGTAGTACAGGTGACTTCATCTAGGAGGTGGTGCTCAGGGGGAATTGCCTAGATCAGGTATTCTTAGCTGACTTAACAAGTAAGATCTTCATAAGCAGATGAGGGGGAAGTTTCTGCTATGCTCTGAGTCCTTCTTTCCTAAGAACTGAAGCTACTGCCTGGATTATACCCTTGGCTTTGTTATTAACTGTCTTTGTGACTCTGGGACCTCTCTGAGCCTCAGTCTCTTCATCTGTAAAATGCCAACAGGAATGGTTCCTCCAGACTGGGGTTGTAAGGATTAAGTTAGTGAATATGTGCACAAGTACTAAGATCAGTACTAGTACATAATAAATGCTATGTAAGCGTTAGCTATTCTTTTTTTTTTTAATTTTTAAATTTGTTTTAATTGGTTATACATGACAGTTGAATGCATTTATGTACTTTGATATATCATACATAGATGGGATATATTGTCTCATTTTTCTGAGTGTACATGTTGCAGAATCATATTGGTCATGTAGTCACATATATACGTACAGTAATGGTGTCTGTTTCATTCCACTATCTTTCCTATCCCCGCATTAGCTATTCTTATGTTTACTTTTTTTTTTTTTTAAGAAAGTAAATGTTTACTGTGGGTGAAAAATCTAAGGAAAAAAATCACTTAAATTCTAGCCACGATTTTTTGTCCAAAAATACAGACATATACAGCTTATCAAACACCTCTTTGGAAGTTTTCCTTCAAGTCTCGCACCATCCTCAAAGAATCCCATATTTTCTGAGAACACAGACAATGGAATTTTATTTACACCCAGGCCCGCCCCTTGATTTCGTCATACAAGCCACGCCCCCACAGCCGCGTGCGCGCTGAGCTCGGGAAATGAAGCCGCGTGGGCGGGCCTTCCTCGAACGGAAGTGACGTATGGCACATGCGCGGTGTCGATGAGAAGACTGCGGAAGAGTAAGGGCCTCTCCGCACGTCACCGGAAGTGGCTGCTGCTTCAGCATGCTGGCGGAGCTCGGTTTGATCGGGACCATAGGCGAAGATGACGAGGTGCCGATGGAGCCCGAGTCTGACTCCGGAGACGAGGAGGAGGAGGTAAGAGCCGGCGGGGGTGGGGGCGCGGCTGGGTCAGGGTGCCGACCCTCGGGAGTCCTTGATATCTTCTCTTCCCTATGATTCCTAGGTCGCTGTCCCTGAATCCTCAGCATCCCCTGGGGAGGGTCTCACTCGGACCCTGGGATCTTCCTCAGTTTGCTCGTTATTAGCTTTTCCCCACCTCTGCTGTTGGCCGTGCCATTATGTGTCGCTTTGCTGAACTCAGTATCCGTTCAATGACCTGGTATTTAATTCAGGCCCTGGGTAATAGAGGTCCAGAGGTGAAATCAGTCTTGGTTCCTGCGCAGAGAGCAATGTTATCCATCCATTCAACTGTTCATCAAGCCACTAATTGACTACGTACATGTGCTAGATGTGGTGTTTAACTTTGGGGACCGAAGTGAACCGAGATGGGCGCTGACGCCTGCGTTGAGGTGGGATGATTTACAGACCGTGAGCACAAAGAAGGTGCTTACGGTTCAGAGACTCACCCAGGTGTTTCCCTCGGCAGAGACTCACCTGCCTACTTGACACGCCTTTTGTACAGATTCATCTCCTACAAGGCCCAGTTTCTGGTTTCCCTCAGCTTCCCATCCTGCCAGAAGGCTTGGAGTCATTCTTGACAGCTTCTTCCTTCTCTCCCCATTTCTCCCACACCCCATCCCCTGGCATCCACCTTTCTATTCTCTGTTTCTGTGAGTTCGAGGTTTCTGGTTTCCACGTGCCTTCTCATGTGGTAGGTGTGGTGTTTTGCACAGGTACCTTGGGAGGTGTCTTGAAAATTGTAGCTTGGTCGGTTTCTCACTCTATTTTAGCCTTGTGTGTTTCTACTTTCTTATTGGACATCCTCCTTTCCTTCTGCCTTTCCTACTGTTCTTTCATCTCACCTCACAGTCACCCTGCCTGTCCTCTTCCCAGGGGCCCATTGTGCTGGGCCGAAAGCAGAAGGCCTTGCAGAAGAACCGCAGTGCCGATTTCAACCCTGACTTCGTGTTCACTGAGAAGGAGGGGATGTATGATGGCAGCTGGGCCCTGGCTGATGTCATGAGCCAGCTCAAGAAGAAGGTGAGATGGACAGTCACAGGCAGCTCCAGACAGTGGGTCTTGGGACTAGCCCGACCTCACAGCCTCTTGCCCTGTTGACATTCAGCAGGTACCAGAATCCTGTGAAATGTATAGGATAGGGAACGGAAATCACAGGGGACCTATAGTCTTGATTAATACTAAAGTATAAGATACTGCAAAATTGATGGATTCCAGGCTAGTTACAAACATTCATAAATCTATAGTTAATGTTTAGAAGTATCAAAAATATTTATTTTCTTATAAAATTTACATGACAGCTTTTTCTGGAATGGGGGGTAATGAACTCAGACGTATTAAGACATGCCCTCTTGATTTTATAGTGCTCATCTGTACTCCCATTTGCTCAGGAGGCTGAGGTGGGAGGATCCCTTGAGCCTCAGAGTTCAAAGCCAACCTGGGCAACCTAGCTCCCATTTTTTACAGAAAATCTGGTAACAGCAGCCCAATGGTTTAGGAGCACCCAACATTACAAACCTTGTTTGACTTAAAAAATTACAGAGCTATGTTTAAGACCTGACCTTCGGAAACCTTGCTTGATATCTCTCCTTCATGCATATTTCTTTTTTTCTCTTTATTTTTATCTGCAGAGGGCAGCCACTACCTTAGATGAGAAGATTGAGAAAGTGCGAAAGAAAAGGAAAACGGAGGTGAGACAGGAGCCACTTGTCACCTTTCCCCAGCCGTCCTGAGAGCCTGGCTGTGCCTGTCTCTTTAAGCCTGGGTTGGGGTGCAGCGTGCAGGGCTCTTAGGGCTGTGCACGGAGGCGTCCCACAGTGTCTGCCCAGGCTCCAGACTCGGTATTGCCCCTTTAGAGTGTGAATTTCCTGAAACTTGTAATCACTCTTGCTTTCTTCTCTTTATGCCCCAGGACAAAGAAGCCAAGGCCGGGAAATTGGAGGAGAAGGAAGGAGAGGAGCCGGGGGACCCGGAGCAGGGGGACCTGGCGGGGACAGAGGAGGAGGCAGGCTCGGCAGAGGAGGAGTCTGAGAGCGAGTACTCGGCAGCTGAGGAGGACATCCTCACCAAAGCAGGTGTGCGTGTGGCGGGTTGGTCCCTGCGCCCTGGGGCACGTCCCCCTTAGGTTTCAGGGTCTTTGGGATTTTGCTGCTGTTACATGGAACCGGCGGCTTCCTCTTTCCCCATCTGCAGTCCCACACAGCTGCCAGCTGCCTCTGTGACTCAGACTTAATTTGAGGTGACCACGTCATGGGGTCCACCCAGGTAGCCCAGGAGGTATCTTGGGCAGAACTTTGTGCGGAGGTGTCACCATGTGTGGAGAGGACACGGTGTGGGCAGCCTGGGCCACACCTGCCAGGTTCCCTTCCTGCCTGACCGTAGCGAGTCACTTCATCACGCTGCCACCTGGGGTCCTCATGTTTGAAGTGGGGCTGGTGGCAGAAGCCCCCTGTGTCAGGTTGGGTGTGGTGGTCACAGGCGTGCTGAGGACATGGCGGGCGATGCAGGCGCTGGCTCCCGCTGTGCTCAGCAGGCGTCCTCTCTGTAGATACACTCAAAGTGAAGGAGCGGAGGAGGAAGAAGAAGGGACAGGTGAGCGTGGGCTTGGGGCCGGGCAGCTGTGAGGTCGTTGGGTTTTCATGGGCCCCGTTTGCTGAACTGTCGCCGTCTTCCCGTGTAGGAAGCAGGAGGCTTCTTTGAGGATGCGTCGCAGTATGATGAAAACCTCTCCTTCCAGGACATGAACCTGTCGCGGCCGCTTCTGAAGGTAGTGGCTTCTTTGGGCAGCTGGGAGGATCCTTACAGCAGCCCAGGTGGGCTCCTTGCTGCCCCTCTCTGTCCCGCAGTGGCACCCACTTTAACTTGGGGAAAAAGCCAAATTCCTTGTACTATCTTGTAAGGCTCCACCCTCCCTGTCCCCTCTGTGGCGTCTCTTGGCACTCATTCTCCGGCCTCACTGCCTCGCTAGGCCAGAGAGCCTCTTCCTCGGGGCCTTTGCAATTGCTGTTCCTCTCCCTGGAAGACTCTTCTCCCAGAGATCTGTTGCGGTTCTCCCTCACCCCCTCAGCGTTGGCCGAGACCCCTGTGCACCCACCTCTCCGCCCACCTCCCCAGCCCCCTGCTGCTGTGATCTTGGTCTGTAGCACGTCCTTCCGAGGACTGTGTTTGTCTTTTTGTCTGTTCCTTTTTCCCAGGTTGTGAGTTTCCTGAGGGACGGGTGGTTTTGTTTCATCCGTTTGATTTGGTACCAGGGATTGAACTCAGGGCTGCTGCACCACTGAGTACATCCCAAGCCCTTTTTATTTGTCGTTTTGAGAGAGACTCTCTCAAAGTTCTTTCTAGTCTTGTTAGGTTGCGGAAGCTGGCCTTGAACTTATGTTCTCCCTGCTGCAGCCTCCTGAGTTGCACCTGGCTCCTGGGCCTGTGTTGTGTTTTCTGTTGTTTATGGATGTCCTCCCTGGCTAGCGCAGCACCGCCTGCAGGCCCTCAGTCCTGTCTGGAATGAGTGTCCTGGAGGGTCTTGCTGCAGACCTGTTTGTTTCCTGCTGAGAGTCCTCTTTGTTCCCTGCCTGGTCTGACTCTGTCTCCTTCTCTTCAGGCCATTACAGCCATGGGCTTCAGGCAGCCCACCCCGATCCAGAAGGCGTGCATTCCTGTGGGTCTCTTGGGGAAGGACATCTGTGCCTGTGCAGCCACTGGGACAGGTGAAAGGATGGGGACTTGGGGTGGTGGAAGGGGATGTCACACCCCAAATAGGGCTTTAGTCGACTTCACACGCTGGCTTGCTAAATGTGCTTGGGTTTCTTAACTATATACAAAGTCTGCAGAAATCCGTGTTCAGTGGGTGATATTGATGGCTTTTGCAGGTGTGGAGCGATTTGAGTTGACGAGTTTCCATTTTGTCTTCATAGCTGCATTTTATAGAATGTTGAGTTTGTTTCTGGCACCTCCCCCTTAAGAGGACAGTAGCTGGAGGGAACCTGAGGAAACAGGAAGGGTCCTCTATGGTGGGGTAAGACACAAGAGAGTGCCGCTCAGCCTGCACTGCCAGTCCCAGAGGCATGTGCAGGTGGGAGACCAGGCATCTCTGCCTTGGACCTCCTAGAAGGTCACCTCTGTGTCCTGGCTCCCTACAGCCACAGCAAGGAGCAGAGGGAAAAGCTGGTTGAATAGTCCAGTCCTTAAGATGCCGCGAAGAGGACAAAATCAAAACTCCATCTACTACAAATCAGTAGTCTCAGGACTAGGACAGCCGGCAAGTCAGCCTGTTCCTGGGAGCCCGCCTCCCTCTGACCCCCAGGGGGTGGGCCAGGGAGCCTCAGTGCTCTCTTCAGGGCACAAGTGACATGACGGGGCAGAGTATGCTCAGCACCTTCCGGGGCACTCTTTGCAGTGTTTGGTCCCTTCTCTCAAACCACATAGCCAGCCATGGGGAACCAGCAGGTGCCACGTCGCACTCTCAAGTTTTGTTAGACTTCTGCCTCTTTCTCATTTTTTTTTCTGTGACAGATTGAGAATTGTCATAGTTTATTCACATGCTCTTTTTGGAGGCAGTTTGGCAATATGTGGATTCACTTTTCAAAGTGTTAAAAGAGTTTTTTAGTTATTTATACTAATTTACACTAAAAAATAAAGATGTGTAAGCAGAGGTCGAGAAGACTGGCTCACTTCAGTATTTTGAACATGGGACAAAATCATGGTTTTAGGGATGATGGTTTGTAAGAATTAGCTTCTTTAATTTCTACAACATTTCTCTTTTTGTAATGATTCAAATGCAAATATATTGGGAAGGGGGAGAGTAAAAAGCTCCCCCATCTGCCCCATTTGCATCTCCCCCACTAATGTGTTTTGCCACCAGATACTCCAGAGTGTTTGCATTTTTCTTGGCAAATGCAGATGCAATTGAATACATTTAACTTAAGTGCAGTTCAAGAGCTGCACCAGCATGTGCCACAGCCCAAGGCAGCAGACTACATGTGGCTGCGTGTGGCCTTTCTCACTAAATGGGTAATCTTGGATATTTTTCCTGCCAGTCCATGTGCACCCACGGGGTGTTCCTTTGATTGTGTCTTGTGGCAGCTTTTATGTTTGCTAATTTTCATTTACTGCATTTTCAATTGAGTATAACTTATATATTGTAAAACTCACATATTGCATCCAAAGTATATAGCTTGATGATTTTTTTTTTTTTGGCACCAGGGATTGAACCCAGAGCCACTTAACCACCGGGGACTACATTCATGGCCCTTTTTGTATTTTATTTAGAAACAGGGTCTTGCTGAATTGCTGAGAGCCTTACTAAGGGGCTGAGGCTGGTTTTGAACTTGCAATCCTCCTGCCTGAGTGCTGGGATTATAGGTGTGCACCACTGCACCTGGCAGCTTGGTGAATTTTTATATATGCCTATATATTGGTGATCTACTTGTATGTTTTATTTTATTTATTTATTTTTTTAGTTGTAGATGGACACAATATCTTTATTTTTTTATTTATTTTTAATTGGTGCTGAGAATCGAACCCAGTGCCTCATACATGCTAGGTAAGTGCTCTACCACTGAGCCCCAGCCCCAGCCCTATATTTTATTTTATTTTTAAATATTTATTTTTTAGGTGTAGATGAACACAATACAATGTCTTTATTTTTATGTGGTGCTGAGGATCGAACCCAGGTCCTACCTGTGCTAGGCGAGTGCTCTACTGCTGAGTGACAATCCCAGCCCCATATTTTATTTTTTAAAAATATTTTTTAGTTATAGGTGGATACAATATCTTTATTTTCATGTGGTGCTAAGGATTGAACCCAGTGCCTCACGTATGCTAGGTGAGCGCTCTACCTCTGAGCTACAACCCCAGCCCTACTTGAATATTTTAAATGTTTACACATAGCAAATCATCCTCATTATCACCATCATTTATGGTACTAGAGTTGAACCCAGGGGTATGTAATCTCAAAGGGCCTTGTTGAGTTGCTAAGGCTGTCCTTGAACTTGCAATCCTTATGCCTCAGCCTCCTGAGTTGCTGGGATTACAGGAATGTGCCACCCCACCAAGCACAAATCAATTTTTTAAAAAATTATTTATTTCTTTCATACATGACAGATTAATATTTTTAACTGATATTAAGAGATACCAACACAATTCAGAGGGTAAAGAATTTTAAAAAAGGGGCTGGGGTTGTGGCTCAGTGGTAGAGCGCTTGCCTAGCATGTGCAAGGCCCTGGGTTCGATCCTCAGCACCACATAAAAATAAATAAAGTAAAAGATATTGTGTCCATCTACAGCTTAAAAAAAATAAATATTAAAAAAAAGAATTAAAAAAGATTTTTTTTGGTACTAAGTATTGAATTTGAGGTCTTGCATATGTTAAATACTTTATCTATCACTGAGTTAATATCTACAGCAGTGGATTAAAAAATTATAACTTTGTTACTTTAGGTCAGCGGGGAAGTAGCAAAAATAAAGAAGTGAGTCCCTTGAATCCCTCACTCAGTGGTAACATTCTAAGTTATTGTAGGTCAATATCATAACCAGGAAATCGGTGTTGATACAGTTGTGTTGGGTAGAGCTTGTTTAGATTGTCTGAGGCAGTAGAGGAGGTCTAGGCTAGTTCTGGGTCACAGGTGTCAAGGGGTCAGGTGGAGGTTGTCTTTCTTTAATCCTACCTAGTACCTCTTGGCCCTGCCCTGATAAGCCCTTCATGGGAGCAGAGAATTTATATAAAGGGAATGTTCATCACTGCATTGTATATTAGTGAAAAGCAACCAAAACATCCAATTATAAGGATCAGTTAATTTATAGTAGAGATACTCATATGCTAGAATGCTATGCAACCATTTAAAAAAAATAAAGAATATTTTTTAAAAGGGAGGGTTGGGGATGTGGCTCAGGAATAGAACGCTTGCCTAGAATGTATGAGGCGCCAATACACAAAAAACCAACCAAACAAAAAACCAAAAACAACTCAAGAAAACAGTTTACCTGGGGCTGTGGCTGTGGCTTAGGTGGTAGCCTGCTCGCCTTGCATGTGTGAGGCAGTGGGCTTGATTCTTAGCACCACATAAAAATAAAATAAAGATATTTTGTCCACCTGAAACTAAAAAAAAAATTAAAAAAAAGAAAATAGTTTACCTGAATTCTGAGTAATTTTCAATTTTATTTATTTTATTCTTTATTTTCATGCTTTTTTGACATTTCCTATGTAGTTTTATAAGACCATATAGTTTGAAAGCCAAAAAAAAACACAACTTTTTTAAGGTATTTTATGTTCCCCTGCCCAGGCTTACAGATTTTCTGTACTCGGGCAAAAAACCTGAACATGGAGGGAACCAAACCTGTTCTTGTTTCCCTGCTGTCTCCTCTAGGCAAAACAGCAGCTTTTGCTCTGCCTGTCTTGGAGCGTCTGATCTACAAGCCCCGCCAGGGCCCTGTGACCCGGGTATTGGTACTGGTTCCCACCCGGGAGCTGGGCATCCAGGTGCACTCCGTCACCAAGCAGCTGGCCCAGTTCTGTAACATCACCACCTGTCTGGCTGTGGGTGAGTCGGGGTGGGTGCCAGTTCCTGGGACCCGTGATGTGGTGGAAGGTGGATGTGGCTCACTCTGTGGGAGCAGGGGCTAGGAAAGGCCTGTATGTTCTCTTGAGTCCACTTAAAAATTGGCTGATGTGGGGCTGGGGATGTGGCTCAAGCGGTAGCGCGCTCGCCTGGCATGCGTGTGGCCTGGGTTCAATCCTCAGCACCAAATACAGATGTTGTGTCCGCCGAAAACTAAAAAAAAAAATTCTCTCTCTCTCTCTCTTAAAAAATAAAAATTGGCTGATGTGTTTTTGTAGTACTGGTACTGGGGAGGGGAGAGAGTTCATTGAGACTTAACTACTCTTGAAGAATGAAACTTTAAAATTATGAATTTTTTTTTTTTGGTATTAAACAACTTTAGGAAATAATTTCTGCTTAGCATGAATGTTGAGTCAAATGTTATTTGGGGCAGGATTTCCCTGATAAAGTTACTTGAGAGCTGGGGCTGCAGCTCAGGGACAGAGTGCTTGCCTAGCACGTGTGAGCACTGGGTTCCATCTTTAGCTTTGCATAAAAATAAACAAAGGCATGCTGTCCATCGACAGCCACACGCAAAAGTTACCTGAGAGTGTCATGCAGCCTGCAGTGTACTCTCCTTATGCAATTGGAAGTCAAAGGTGATCTCTGTCCTCACATGTCAAGACATCATCGGTTTTTACCGGGCCTCTTTCAGTCCTGGAATGTTCCAGTCATTCTATCTGGAAATGCTGTTGTGTTGTCACCTGTTTGGATTTTTCACTCCGTCTAATGTGATTAAATAATATGTCTCTCCCTGTGTGTTGCATCCATGTGGGCAAGGCCCCCGTTAGTCTTGCTTGTAGCTGTTTCCTGTTCATCTGACAGGAGACAAAGGCAGGTGGCTAGTGTTCTTAGAACACAGGTGACTGACTGGCTGACCTGGCCATCTGGTGTGTCTCTCTCCTTGCAGGTGGCTTGGATGTAAAGTCTCAGGAAGCAGCTCTTCGGGCGGCACCTGACATCCTCATTGCCACCCCGGGTCGGCTGATCGATCACCTCCACAACTGCCCTTCCTTCCACCTGAGCAGCATTGAGGTGCTCATCCTGGATGAGGCTGACAGGTGAGCCCTGAGGGTGCCGCCCGGGTACTCTGAGGTCCCTCTGAGCTGCCACCCTGCATTATTCTATAGGACCTTCAGCTAAGTGGAGACACCCCTTCATCCACCCACAAGGGCCTCTGTTGGTGCGTGGAGCAGATTTTTCTGCTTCTCCTTTCTTTCTGTAATAGTAATGGTTAGGAGGTGACGTCAGTCACATGTGGGCTCTGCTGCTCCTAACTGAGATCCGGGGATGTTGCACTCGGGTTCAGGAGTAGTGTCCCCGTCATGCTGAGTGGTGCAGGGGCAATGCAGGGATGGGCTGTGCGTGGTGGCTTCAGTAGGCATCTCCCTGGCTGTGGTGGGACCCCTTGTCCCTCCGTCCCTCCTCTTTCTCTCACAAGTGTCCCATCTGCTCACCTCTTTCCTTCATGCCTGAGCCAGGTGAGCTGGGCTGATGGCACAGCGGGCAAGGGGCGTGCTGAGGTGTCCTCTCACGTTGAAGCGTCTCAGAACTAGCAGGCCTGGGAGCATGTGACCCTGCATGTGCTTGCTTGGTCCTTGGCTCCTCTCATTTTCACACCAGCGACACCACAGTCAACTCGTCAGCTCCCCGCTGTGGGGCTCTCAGTGCTGTCCCTCAGGGTGGAACCGTCTCCTCCGCCTCCTTCAGGTTTCTGGATCTGCGAGAGAGAAGGGCATGGCCTCGCCTAGCCCCCAAACCAGTGGGGGTTTCTTGAATCCAGTCAGTCACCTGGAGATAGCTGGAGGGTGAACGAGGCTGAGGGGGCGTCCTGGGTGAAGGAAGCCTCAAAAGACACACAGCCAGCTGCAACCCGGGAACTCTGGCTCTCTGACTCAAATACAGGCGGCTGTAACTCACAGAGGGCAAGAGGAGGCGGGATGGAGGGAGGGGAGAGGGTCAGGTGTCCCCAGCACAGTGGAGGGATGGCCTCTCGAAGCCTCCTGATGCACAGCCCGTCTCTGCATTTCAGTTGAGGACATCTGAAAGTGGCCTGTACTTCAGATGTCACTCAAACACTGCCATGTCTTGATTGTGACAGGTTATGTGGGACAAGGTCATTGTCCTTACTGTGTGTTGGAATGTTTGGGGTCATGATATCTGTGACTTACTGGTATATAGTTTAGTAACAAAAAAAGAGTCATGAGGCAGGTGTTGCATGATGATAATTCTTGGTGAATCTTGGTTAAAGGGTAAAATAACAATAAATTAATTCTAAACACAACCAGGGGCAGCCAAAACTCAGCCTGCGTGGTAGTCTGTGACTCTCGCTGTGACAGAAGCGTGTTCCCCAGTGTCGTGTCATGTCCTGTCTCTCTCTGCCCCAAGGATGCTGGATGAATACTTTGAGGAGCAGATGAAGGAGATCATCCGAATGTGCTCCCACCACCGCCAGACCATGCTCTTCTCAGCCACTATGACAGATGAGGTGGGCCAAGGGGCTTCTCCGTGGCGGGTCTGCACAGGGGGCCATGCGTGGGTGTGCGTTGTTGCTACCTTCCCACCTCCTCGCGGGAAGCTGAGCGCCCTTGGCTCTGTGCTCGGCAGGTGAAGGATCTGGCTTCTGTCTCCTTGAAGAACCCTGTCCGGGTGTTTGTGAACAGCAACACGGATGTGGCTCCCTTCTTACGGCAGGAGTTTATTCGCATCCGGCCTAATCGGGAAGGGGACCGGGAAGCCATCGTGGCAGGTGAAGGCCCAGGGCTGGGCAGGCTGGGCCTCCTGGGTGTCCACCCGAAGCATTAGGGTTTTGCCTTCTTGTTCCTCCGTCTGTTTTCCCCTCAATCAGAGCCACTCTGCTGTCCATCCATCTTTATCACCATGCTGGCCTCACCCAGCTCCTCCCTCCGTCCATTTTTGTGTCCTCCTGAGTTCCTGACCACTTGCCACCAGTTGCTGCTCTGTTTTTTTTGTGTGTGTGGTGCTGGGGATTGAACCTTGTCATGTGAGGCAAGCACTTTACCAGCCGAGTTGTGTCCCCAGCCCCAGTTGCCACTCTGGCTTCTTAATGCAGACACCACTGTGTGTTGCCTGGATTGTTGCTGCAGCCTCTTAATTTCCTCTTCCTGCTTCCTCTTGGCTCTTCATAATTCATTCTTCCCTCTGCAGAACAGTTTGTTTTTTTAATTTATTAATTTTTTAAAAAAATTATACATGAACACAATGTCTTTATTTATTTGTTTTCATGTGGTGCTGAGGCTCAAACCCAGTGCCTCACATGTGTGAGGCAAGCGCTCTGCCACTGAGCCCCAGCCTAGCCCCTGCTGAACAGTTCTTTACAAAAGAATACCTGCTCCCGTTACCGCCTTACTGAACAAACACCCTGGGTGTGGCAGCTCCGGTTGCTCTTATGGAAATCCAGACTCTACCTAGTGAACCCCTTCGGATACTCGAGGGCCACATCTGCCGGCTTGGGCCCCCTCATCCCCCATGCTCGTTCTGACCTCCAGGACGTGACATTGCTCTTTCTTCAGCCTGGCATCCTTGTCCTCATGGGATAGTCTGCCTTCTCATTCAGCCTCAGTCACCCCTCCAGGAGGTCAACTCTAACGCTGCTCTGCCACCCTCCCTTTACTCTTTCTCTTGTGACATTTATCACCCTGGGGAATTAGTTCCTGTCTGCCTTGGCCTGTGAGTTCACCCGGCAGGGACCGTGCCTGTGCCCCTGTGCCACTCAGCAGGCTCATTGTCAGGTGAGGGAGGCGCCTTGTGCAGCAGCGCACACACGGTGATGGCGCACTCTTCTCCCTCCAGCTCTGTTGACGAGAACCTTCACCGACCACGTGATGCTCTTCACCCAGACCAAGAAGCAGGCCCACCGCATGCACATCCTCCTGGGGCTTCTGGGGCTGCAGGTGGGTGAACTCCACGGCAACCTGTCCCAGACCCAGCGGCTGGAGGCCCTCCGGTATGTTCCCATGTCAGCTCCCTTTCCTCCTTGGGCTGATCAGAGAGGGTTCTCTGCATCTGACAGAGAACCTGGAAACGGGATCCAGAAGGTTATGTTAGAGCAGCAGCAGGGATACAGATGGCACAATGCCCTGCTTAAAAATTTTTAATCTAAACTGAGCTTGCTGGTGCTACCTGTCGTCCCAGCTACTCAGGAGCTGAGGCAGGAGCATCACCCGAGCCCAGGAAATTTGAGAGCAGCCTGGACCACGTAGCCTTAAAAAAGCAAAGTAAAGCAAAGACTTGGAGCGCTGTCAGGTCATGTGTTAGCTGCACTGATTCTCACAGAACAGAGTCGACCTCTAGGTGGGGAGCCCTGGAGAGCTCCCCACCCGCCACTGTTCCTCACAGGGTGCTGGGAGGGGTTGTTACAGCAAATCTGATCTGAACAGACGTCTGCCTCACGGTTTCCTGTAGTCTAGCTTGTTGGTTCTCACACTTGAATCTGGACAGGAATTAGTGCTTGAGATAGAACACAAACCTGCATGTCCCCATGTAGGCAGCTGTTAAGGGTGAGTGTAAGTGTCCACCGGCTGACCTTTAGAATGCATCCCCTGCTGCTTGACTCCAGGAGGCTTTGTGGTGACTTTCCCGTCCCTCTATTCTCTCGGCTTCTCGGGCTCCTGGGGAGCATTACTGGGATAGGTATCTGAATAAGCATCTCTGTGGCTATTTCTAGGCGCTTTAAGGATGAACAGATTGATATCCTTGTGGCCACAGATGTGGCAGCCCGTGGACTTGACATTGAGGGAGTCAAAACGGTGAGAAGGTCCTATCGTTTTTTGAGTTTTTCTTCTTGCCCCAGGGCAGCGTGCCACCCCCACTCGCATGCTGCAGGTCTGACTGCCGATTCTGACCCTGCAGGTGATCAACTTCACGATGCCCAACACTATCAAGCACTACGTACACCGGGTGGGGCGCACCGCACGAGCTGGCAGGGCCGGGCGCTCGGTCTCTCTGGTGGGAGAGGAGGAGCGGAAGATGCTGAAGGAGATTGTGAAGGCCGCCAAGGCCCCTGTGAAGGCCCGTATTCTTCCCCAGGGTGAGGAGGCACAGCTGGAGCAGGGCGGGCAGAGAGTGGTGCTCTGCAGTCAGGCCAGCTTGAGTCCCCGCTCTGCCACCTCCTTGTTGAGTCCCTGGGCAGGTCTACCTCAGTTCCCTGGGCTGTAGGCTTCTGTGTGTAACAGGACATGATAATAGCAATGAAAACACAGAGCCCGTCATAGGGGTTTTCCTGATCTGTGGGGTCCTGTAAAGCCCACCCATCTTCTTCAAAAGTTACTTTCATTAATGTCACAGAAGTAGTTATGTATTCATCATCTGGAATGAGTAAATAATTACAAATGTGTATGTCAAAGAGCTAGCTGGGGGGTTAGGGATGTGGCTCAAGCGGTAGCGCGCTCGCCTAGCATGCGTGTGGCCCGAGTTCGATCCTCAGCACCACATACTAACAAAGATGTTGTGTCTGACAAAAACTAGAAAATAAATATTAAAATAATAAAAAAAAAAGAGCTAGCTGGGCACACGGGCGCATGCCTGTAAATGCCAACAACTCTAGAGGCTGAGGCAGGAGGATTGCAAGTTTGAGACCCTGTCTCAAAGTAAAAAAGGGGCTGGGGATGTAGCTTAGTAGCAGCAGCATCCCTGGGATCAGTCCCTGGTCCCACCTTGTGTGCCAGTGCCCGCCCCTCCACACTCCGGGTCACGGTGTCCTCTTGCTCATTTTCCTTTGGTGCGGTCAGCCTGGATCGCTGTTGAGTGGTGCTGTGTGCCCTGCTCCACTTCTGTTCCAGGTGCTGGGGACAGAGCAGGGGACCAAACAGCTGATGTTCTGGTGGAGAAGTCAAAGATAAGCCAGTGGTTGATGCTGTGGAGAGGCAGGAGCAGCCCCTGCTCTAGCAGGCTGCTCAGGAAAGGCTGGCCTTCTGCCGGGTCCTGGATAAGAATGTGGTCTTTTGTGTTTTCAGATGGGGGTCTTGCTATATTTCCCAGGCTGGCCCCAAACTCCTGAGCTCAAGCCATCCTCTCACCTCAGATCCCAAGTAGCTGGGACTTCCTTACAGGTTTTGTGTCACAGCTCCCTGCTCTCAGTGGAGATGTTAAGTAGAGAAGTCACACATTAAAAAAAAAACACTTTTCTGTCAGTAAACAGACCATCGCTTTTGTTTTCATTAGCTACATAGTATATTAGTATTCACCCATAGTTTAATGTCTTTTCTGTTCTCTCCCCTGGAGATGTCATCCTCAAATTCCGGGACAAGATTGAGAAAATGGAGAAAGATGTGTATGCAGTGCTGCAGCTGGAGGCAGAGGAGAGAGAGATGCAGCAGTCGGAAGCCCAGGTGCCCGCTTTCTCAGATGCTTGTCATCTGCCCCGGAGTCTGGGAGAGGCTGCCTGGAGCTGTTGTGCTGTGGATTCGCAGGCACAGTCCCACGGCAGCTGCTCCCTCACTGTCCCCACAGATAAACACAGCAAAGCGGCTCTTGGAGAAGGGGAAGGAGGCAGTGGACAAAGAGCCTGAGAGGAGCTGGTTCCAGACCAAAGAAGAGAGGAAGAAGGAGAAAAGTAAGTGAGGGAGGCCCCCGCAGCTCCACTACGAGGGTGTAGCAAGAGGACCTGAAAACAGGGCTCCGGCAGACGCCTATGCCAGCATTTTTTGAAGTGATATTCTGAACAGCCAAAAGGTGGGAACGGAGGTATCCATCAAAGATGAATGGATGAACAAAGCGATGTGCACCTCACACTCACGCTGGAGGATCATTCAGCCATAGGATGCATGAAAATGTGTCCCATCGATGAACCTTGCAAACATGCTGAGTGACATAATCCAGACACGAAGGACAAATACATGATTCCACTTAAATGAGGCACCTAGATAGACAAAACGTCAAAGGCATAGAAGTTGCAGAGATCCTGGGGCCAGGAGGGTGGGAAGGGAGCAGCTTGCTGAGTGGCTTACAGCACTGCTGCTTGGCATCATGGTAGTGATCTGGAGTTTTGTGATCAGGTGGTTGTACAGCATTGTGATTGTAATTAATGCCACTAAGTTACATACTTCAGGATGGGTGAAGTGGCAAATTTTATGCGATACATATTTTACAAAAAAACAAAATTTTTCCAAAAATGTATATACTTGGTGTATAATTTAAAAACCAACCAACCAACCCTACTCTACATTCCTTGCTTCTTTCACATATTTCATAGCTTGGGGCTCTTCTCATGTAGGCATATGCATAGCTGCTTTGTTTTTTTCTCCTTAGTGGCTGTGTGGGCTTTTATCGTGAGTAGATCATAATATAGTTAAGTAGTTTCTTATGGGAAGACATTGAGATTGTTTCCTACTTTCTGCCATTATGAACAAGTGATGTGAATAACCTCATATGTTGGCCTTTCATAATTAAGCAAGTGCACTTGACTTGGAGAAGTTTTTAAAGGTGGAATTATAGGTCAGAGTATATGGTTATTTCTAATTCTGGTAGAGATTGCAAATTTACCCTTTGTTTCTCGTTGTACCAGCAATTTCAGAAATATTGCCTTTATTTGATGGGACCAAAAAAAAAAGTGTATATACGTTAAATTTTCATGTTAAAGATAGAGTTATATTAGTGGGAAGGTGTGAGTAGTTTATGGAACCAAACCTTCATCTTTCCTAACAGGATGGTAGATAAGGAATGCCTTAAATGGATTAATAAAGAAATAGTAAACAAGAATGTTTTTTAGTGAGGTGGAGGAAATCATCATGCATTTTTCCTTGTCATTTTTAAAATTGTCACATATTAATTTAAAATAGGTGTGCTGGGGCTGAGGTTTGGCTCAGTGGTAGAGCACTTGCCTGGCATGTGTGAGGCATAGGGTCGATTCTCGGCACCACATATAAATAAAAGTCCATCAACGACTAAAAAGTACTTTAAATAAATAAAATAGGTGTGTTCTGCTAGTAATTTTAAAAATACAAAATGTTCCCTGAAACCTCATGTCTCTTCCCATTTCAGTTGCCAAGGCTCTGCAGGAGTTCGACTTGGCCTTAAGGGGAAAAAAGAGGAGGAAGAAGTTTATGAAGGATGCCAAGAGAAAGGGGGAGATGACAGTGAGTGGCCTCCCTGCAGAGTCTGGTCCCACCACCTCTGGGGGTCGGCGTGCCCTGTCTGTTCTGCATTCACCCCTCCCTCTTCTCCCAGGCAGAAGAAAGGTCCCAGTTTGAAATCCTCAAGGCGCAGATGTTTGCTGAGCGACTGGCCAAGAGGAACCGCAGAGCCAAGCGGGCCAGGGCGATGCCTGAGGAAGAACCGGCGAGAGGCCCTGGTAGGTGGGGAGGATCCTTCCCTGACGGTCGCCTGTTCTCATGATGGTCAAGGGGAAAATTTGAGGGATGATAGTAGGCCACATTTTTTGAATAACTGGTATGTACCAGGATATATAACGTTCCTGTATTGGCTTCACAAGGCGGAGTGACCCTTGGTTGGTGGGGAGAGCTATGATTTGGACTCTGGCCTTTCAGAGTCTTCTGAGTCTTCCCTGGATGCTACTTGGAGGAGTTGGTGAGGGTAGAAGGAAATGCACAGGGTCCTTAAACACAAGAGATCCTCTGAACTTGAATTCATTACCCGGAGCTAAAGGGGGTTTCGGAGCTTGGGCCAAAGAGGACCATGTCTCATTCATTCTTTTGGCGCACAGCCAAGAAGCAAAAGCCAAAGAAGAAATCTGTATTTGATGAAGAACTCACCAACACCAGCAAGAAGGCCCTGAAGCAGTATCGAGCTGGGTAAGGTTGTAAGTTATCATGGAGTCCTTGGTATTTTAGGGAAACTATGAATCTTTTGATTCTTTCTCCATTCCCAATTCTCACATAACCATAGCATTATAATATATGAACTCAGAGATGCCTCTCTGTCCCCCACCCACCTAAAGCCCACCTATTGATCCCAGGGTGAGAGCAGGAGCAGGGTTAAGGTACCACTGCTCCATAGTGCTGTGGCCCCCCTGCTTTGGAGGTGAGATGACTCGTTTTTGAGTTCAGAAAGAGTTATCTCAGTCCTATTAGAACCCCCCCCCCAGAAAAGAATCCATGGGTTTGCCCATGGGAATGGTTTGTCCTGCCACTCTTCCCTGGGCTGCAGGCAGCTGGACTGCTTCCCAGGGAGTCTTAGTAGTCTAGTCACAGGGGAAGAAGGGCCTCCGCCAAGCTGGTCGTGAAGCTGGGCTTGATTTCCGGAAATGCATGTTGTCAGGTAGAAGGAGATGGGCTTGGAACCCAGGCCCTGGAAACGCGGTCCTGGCAGTGCTGCTCTTCCTGTGGCGGGGAGGGGTGGGCACGAGACATTACCCTTTGTCCGACAGCCTGCAGGTTCAGCTTTCCCTTCTCTCACTTGCAGCCCTTCCTTTGAAGAAAAGAAACAGTTGGGTTTGCCCCATCAGAGAAGAGGAGGAAACTTCAAATCCAAGTCCAGGTAAGCTGGGCATGGTGGCACATGGGTGTTGGAAGGCTGGAGACTGTGATTGTTTGGGGTTGAAAAACAAACCTTTTGTGGAATACAAGCTGCTTCTTCCTTTTTCTGGTCTTAACCTGCTGATTTTCTTTAATAGATACAAGAGGAAGAAATAGCCATGGCAGCCTGACGAAGTTTGCAGGGCATCTTAATCTCTCCCTTCCCTGTGGGAAGTCATCCTGGTTTGCTGGTTTTATCTGTCTTTTCTCCATTTGTTTTAAAAAAAAAAAAAAAATTCTTAAAAAGCCTGTCATTTGTGTGTTTAAAGAAAAAAAGTTGGACTGGGCACGTGGCTAGGTGGTAAAATGTTTGCCTAGCATGCATGAGGCCCTAGGTTCAATCCCTAGCACTCCCTGCCCCCCCCCCCAAAAAAAGTTGCCAGTGGTAGAGTAGCACGTGTTCCCTAAGTACCCACCCAGGCTCCCTTCTGAGTAGCTTTCATATAACAAGTACAACCAAACATTAGTCTGGTTTGGCAGAACTCCAATATTTCACCTGTGTGGCTGTCTGGTAGCTGGGCACCATCGTGAACACTTAGTTATCTTTTTGCTCACAGGGGCTGGGTGTGGAGTGAGGAATTTGTTTATTCATTTGTTTGTTTGTGGTGCTTGAGACCAAACCCAGGACCTTTTGTATGCAAGGCAAGCATTGTACCACTGAACCATGTCCCCAGCCAGGAAGTAACTGCTTAGAGAAATGTTCTTTTATTAATGCCCTAGAACTAAAAGGCTACCATTGGGCACTTGGTGCGCTGAGTTGTGATTCAGTTTGCTGCCTATGAGGCAGGTACTGTTGTTCTCATTTTGCTAACAGAGACTTGAAAAGAGTAACTTTCTACAGTTATACAGCTGGGAATTCAGGTTTATGAAATCACCCATAACCTAACTTATTACTGCTGTGTGCTGTAGAGATGGAAGCCAAAACTGGGCAGGAGGGACCCTGACCCCATGAATTAGCTCCTTGTTGTAAAAAACAGCTTTCACTCTGCAGAATGGTTCTCATCCTTTTCTGGATCACAAGATCCCTTTCAGAATTAGATGAAAGCTATGGGATACCCTTTGGGAAACTGTAATTCATGTCCTATGTAATTTAAGTGTACGCGTGCCTCCCCCACCCCGCCCCAGTCGTGGGTTAAAAATAATAGTTTTCCAGTAGCACATGTGCCAGACACTATAGTAGGTTCAAAAGTATTCAGTCAGGCTGCACCTAACAGTCACCAACATAGGATCCGAGTTAGAAAATGATGGACACCTATATTTTAGAATGCAGTTCAAACAACTGTAGGCTCTGTATACAAAGAGTGGGTCCCGAGTAGGTCCCGAGTAGGCTTGAAAAGCCGAGTGCAAATTTTCTGAAAAGGGATATGCATTGCTTCAGCTGATCACCTCTAGGAGGACTCATGAAGTGAGCGGGGTGGCCACTGGGGAAGGAAACACCGTGTACCCTTTTGTACAGGTTGAAAAAAAAATTTTTCACCCTAGGTAAAAACAACTCATCAGCTAAATAAAAACCCCACACCACAAAAACAAAAGAATGGCTTCCATGTACATGTACGTTGCAACAGCTCTGTCCTGTCCTGATTGTCTGTCTTAGGCCTCCCAAGCTGTTTCTAAAAGGAGAGACAATGGATCACTGATTCTCCGTCATTGTTTTTATTAATTGGCTTTATAGGCTAAAGTGCATAGTAAAGACAGAAAAGAAAATGCATACATAGGAAAGGGAGTTTTTTCTTGCCAACATTAGAAAGGACCTGAGATATCTAAGTGTCTGTTCTAAGGAACACTGGACAGAGGGAATGCGGACACAGGCGGCTGGCCTGAGGCTGGCTTCTGGCCTGGGGCTGGGGCCTGCAGAAGCTGCTGGCATGCTAACCCTGCCCAGGTAAAAGCTTGGAGAGAGTGCTGGGACAAAGGCTTACACTTGGGAGAGGTGATGCTGGTACTGAATGTGAGCTTGACTCCATTTGGGCCAGGGAACCAGCACTGTTATGGAACCTCTTGGATGGCAGGTAATGAAATCACTATCCAGGTGTAAGTTTCAGGAAAGGGCACAGAAGTCATCCCAGCTAGTCTGGGCCTGCTACACACAGCCTCCTAATGGGGTAGTGCACTTTCCCCACTCTGAATATGCCGGTGGGTCAGGGTGAGCTGAAGAATCTTTGTCCATCACACGCCTCCAACTTCTAAAGAGGGGTGCCCGAAGAGGTGGGAAGTGGGGTTTCTTGTGCTCCTTGGAGGGAAAAGCAGTCCAGACTCCTCTGGGCCACTTATTACGATGAAATTTAGTCTATAGGTTAGGATCTGATAATTAGCATCAGTCAGCTTCACTGAGCTCATACTTGTGCCCTGGGAACACTGCAGAAGAAACATCCAGTCAAGACCCAGAGTTACCACTAGGTAGCCCTATGTGGAAGCCCCACGCGTGCTTCGGAGAGTCTGTCCCATACTTGCAGGAAAGAAAGAGGTGAGCTCTATTAACTCTGCTCTCAGTTCTGGAGGTAAAGTGCTTACTCTAGCGCAGGGGTAAATCTAGAATCAAATGTGGGCAAGCCCTAAAAGTGGATCCTTAAGTAGGTGCTAAGACTAAAGGACAGTAATAAAAAAAACCCTTCAGTTCCTCCATAAGGGAGCCGGTCCCAGCCAAATGGTGGCTGGGACAAAAGGCAGCAGTGCGCTATCTTCCTAGATCATCCTCCTGATCTCCTCAAAGTTCAGCAGGTTGTTGGCTGTGTTCGACCAGGCAGGGTGCTGGGCTCCATCCATCTCAGAAGCAAGTTGGTTGCTCCTTTCCAGAGTATGATTTTCACCACCAATTACCTCCTGACACTCAGGACAAGTGGCCCTCTCCATGGCTCCTCCACACTCACTAATCACATAAATGTGGCCATTGGGGCACTTGAACCAGTGGCCACGAGAGAAACCCATGGCGCTAACAATCTGCACTCGTTCTTCCTCTGAGATGCCCAGGCCAGAGCAGGGAAGGGTGGCTTTCAGAGCATCCATTTTTTTCTGTACAAGCTGTTCATCCTCCTGGGTGAACTTACATGTTTTCTCGAGGATGTTCCGGATACTGTAGACCTCTTCTGCTATGCTACCTTTCACCTTTCCTTCTGCCATCTTGCAGCGACTCAGGAGGTTCACCAGGTATGTAAGCCTCTGGATTTCACTCTGAAGGTCACTCAGTTCCTGGCTAGTGAAGCTCAAGCGCTTCCTGGCCAGCCACTCATGGACCTGGTCGAGTCGAGTCCTCACTTTACTTTGTTCTAAGACATGTACCTTTTTCAGAGAATCCCACAGGCTGGCCAAGTGGTCATAGAAGCTGATTTAATTCTCAACAAGCCCCAGGTCTCTAACTGATAGGTTTTTCTGGGCTAACTTCTCCATTAGCATCAGGAAGTCTTCAGGGAGCAGCTGGTGGAGGAGGCTCTTGCTCTCCAGCAGGGCCGTAAGTCGCTCCTGACTGGTTGCAATTTCCCCTGCTGAGCCCTGGATCTTTTCCTTGACGATTTCGATCTCTTCTAGTCGCTGTTTGATGCTGGTTCCATACCTCAGGTTTTTGCGTATAGGCACCTGGCAGATAGGGCAGACCTTCAACCTGATGGCAACTTCGTCATCCTTCTGCTCATTCATGTAGCGGTCCAGGGCTTGTACCTCGAAGATGTGGCTGCAGTCTTCTAGCTGCACGAAGCGGGCATCAGGCTCATCCTCATAGCCAAAGAAGATTTGTGTGACCTCATCCAGGTGGCAAACATGGCACTTCTTGGGGCATGGCTCCCCACACAGACCAATGCAAGGGTGGCCACAAGCCAGTAGCTTAGTACAAGGCACATAGCATGGGGGTCGGTTGCAGGGCTCAGAGCAGAGTTTGGTGCACTGGTAGTGCTGGCAGTGCCAGACACAGGGTTCCACACAGGGGCTGCACAACTCCCCACACTTCTTCTTACACTGGCTATGGACACACCGGTTCTGACAGGTTCGCTGACAGGGCGGGCACTCACCAATGCAGGGCTCCTGGCACTTGTGTGAGCAGATGAGCAGGCGCTTGCAGGGCTGCTGACAACGCTCATGGAAGCGCCCTTCGAAACAGCTATGGCAAGAGCCAGGGCAAGGATGCCCGCAGTCCAAGATGGTGTCACACTTGGTGGTACACTTGACTGGCATATCGTACTTGAGGTCTTCCACATTACCACACTTCACCTGTTGGCTGTGTCCACACTTGAGTTCCACAGTGACCATTACTGAACACAACTGCACACAAAGCTCACCACATGGGTGGCTACATCTGTGGCCACATCTCAGGATCTTGGGGCAGGGCTCCTGGCAGCAGAAATCTGACTCAGGCATTGAACAAGGAACCATCTGTTCATGGCCACACTGAGGAATGGTTTTAGGAACCTTCACTTGACAAGGCTGACACTCCTGAAAGCAAACAAGAGGGCACCGGTGTCCGTCCTGGCAAATGACCTTCTGGCATGGCTTCATGCACTGGAACTCCTTATGCAGGGAATCATACGGGTGGCAGGCACGGGTGCAGACATGCCCACAGCCCAGCCGGAACTCACAGGGCAGGCTGCAGCCTCCTTCGGGCACTTTTTGGAAGTCGGAAGCTTTGGAGACTAAGGTGTGGGTATCAGGGTGGTTCTGGCAGCACAGTCGGAGTGTTTGGCCTATCTGATTGTTCTCTCGAAGGGTATGGATGATCTTGCTCCACAAGGGCACCTTGGCTAGCATCTGCATATTTCCAATGCAGTACATCCCCTTCTTGGCTCTGGACAAGGCCACACAGATACGGTTGGATATCTGGAGAAAACCCACCTTGCCCTCCTGGTTGCTTCGCACTAGTGAGAGGAGGATGATGTCATTTTCTTCCCCTTGGTATTTGTCCACAACATGGACCTTGACACCAGCAAATGTCTTGGCAGGCATGAGTTTTCGCAGGCAGAAAAGCTGCCCAGTGTAGGTGGTGAGGATGGTGATCTGGGAGGGCAGGTACTCCTGGCACAGAAAGTACTTGCACAACTCTACCACAAAGTGAGCCTCATGCTGGTTCTGATGGCTTTTGCCTTCTTGGATTTCCTGTTCAGGAAAGTTGTGTTCTACAAAGAAAAGGTTGGAAGAGACCCCCT